GAAGGAGGTAGATGGTGTCATCAACATCATGGAGACGTCGTCCTATACTGAGTCCATGCTCGAAGAGACTCAAGTGGGCAAAAAGATATCAAACGAGATGGCACCGGACCCAGATTATGCCCTCACACGTTCTTTGATGGCATGGACATGGCCACGTTAGAGGACTTTTTCGGGCGTGGTCACCTGGAGGTCGCAAAAAGGATGTGCCATCGGGAGCGGGCGAGCCGAGATCAAGCTAGAAACTAGTGAAGCGGTTCCCTACACTGAGTGTGGACCCCTACCGTAATAGAACGGTCATTCTTACAATCCCAGCGGACGCCCGGGCCCTATCCACTCTGGTGGGCATAGCCAACTACCTTCATTGCCTGGTGACCGAGGGGGACTAGGCAAAGAGAAACAAAGTACACAAGTCGAGCCTCTTCAACGAGGCACAACAGACACTGAATCGGGTAAGGCGTCTACTCTTCGTACCCCTTGCGAATCTTGCTTAGTTTTGTACATGTTCTAATGACTTTGTTGTTTTTCAGGCTTCAGTGCTTCATCATGAAGGCTTTATTTGGTCCTGCTTGGAGATCAGCCGGCTCGAGTTCAAGCTCAAAGAGCCAGTCTGAAAGAAGGACATGTATAGGGCTCTCAGGGAACAACAAGAAGAGGACCTCAAGGACCTCCCAATTCTCTAAGCCGAGTTGGAAAAGGCTCAGAAGGAGGCCTTGTCCGTAAAGCGGCAGCATGCCGATCTGGTCGATAAGGTAAGGATCTTTGAGGCTTAAAATGAGAAACTACTCGTGGTGACTAAAAATGCAACTTCGCAGGTCCACGAGAAGGTAGACCTGATTGACCAACTTCGGGCTGAGATGGATGAGGTGAAGGCCATGACCGAAGCGTGGAAGGGAAGGAAGGACCTGTTGGCTTCAGAAAAAAAGGCTGCAAAAGAGGAGCTAGCATTGGTCAAGGACTAACTCCGGGTGGCAAAGGATAAGATCGACAAGTGGTCTCGGCTTAATGATGAACTCCAAGCACAGCTGAACTCGGTTGTCACGGAACGAGATGCCCTCGGCCAAGAACATAACGCGTTGAGGTCCAAGTTGGAGGCAACTTCTATTTATTCCTTTGACGTGCAGGAAATATTGTCCTAGTATAAGGCTAATATGGAGATAGCCGAGGCCCGCTTAAAGACAAAGACCGAGTATGTAAAGCGGCTATCCCTGAGAGAGACCCTTGAGGAGATCCAGGTCCGAGGTTTTGACCTGTCAGCCAAGATTAAGGAAGCCAAGAGAATAAGGCCGAGGCAAAGGAACTCTAGTAGCCTGGGGGTCCCGAAGGCTCTGGGGGTTCCGAGGGTTCCGAGGGTTCTAGTGACAAGTCGAGCACGGTGAAGATCATGCGTAGATGCTTAGTTCTTTTTCAGTTTTCCCTTGTATATTTTCTTTTTTGTTTATTTTGAGGTCGTTTTATCGTGCCTTTGTAAATATTTTTTGAGATATATAAAATTTCGCCCTTTTGGCAATACCGTATCTTTACTTTCTGGAATCTATTTGTAATTTTTTATTTGAGCATCTTTTTAAATGCCTTAGCGTAAAATCAAATGTAATCTAGAGTATCCGTTCTTTGGAGGTCTGAATGAGGCCCGATTTCGATGGCAACTCCGGGCTACTCGTGGCTTCGTGATTTCGATAGAATTGATGGCTTTTAAGATGCTTAAATATCTTAAATGATGTTTTTGCAGAGGGTAACCTTTTAATAGGTTTTAATTTTACGTAAGGGCCTTACTTTCTGAGTATGAACTTCGGACATCTCCAAGCTGTTTTTTGGGTAGTCGTAGCCTTTCATATTTGGGCACCGCCTAATAGGCTTGGTGCCTCTAGGATTTGGTAGCCCGGGTCGTCCGAATGTTTTTCGGTCAACAGTCTTGACGAGCACAAAACTCAGATTTAAATTATTCTCGCTAGTCAAGATAGTATAATATAATATTGTATCCACATGGATTGGATTTAAACTGTATTCTCGTGGTTTCTAGCTTGATTGCTATTTAGGAGGATCAATAGTTGGGATTTATATGATTACTAATTAAAATTAACTAAGAATCTAAAGCTATTGACTAGTGACTATCGAGACAAGGAATAAGCAAATAATGTTATCAGTAGGAGAAAATAGGGTTTTGACGGGTAGGTGCAACATAGTTGTTCAGGACCTAACTCTAGATAATTCACTTCTAATTTTAAAGTGAGTCTCTCGAATTTACTCAATTATTAGTTCAAACGTTCAGCAGAAACTCCTCTCTCGATTAAGTCTCAACCTCACAAGAAGAACCAAGTTAAGCATTTTGAAGATATGCACGAATGCGTAGTGGATTGGTCCTTAGGAAAACCTCTTTCGATTATTCTCCTAACTAGGTTTAATCAATTATTCAACTAGCCTCTTTTGATTACTTAGAAGAATCTATGAACTCAACCAACAATATCATGCAAAGATATCACAAGTTATGCCTCTCTCGATTACATGAACGAGTGAATATAGATGCAACACTTAAATCCTCCTAAACGATTCAATACATAAAACTAGATTTATAATCCACAAACAATCATCAATACACCAAATTCATCACAAATATAATTAAATAATAGGAAAACATAAATCAATCCAAACTCGGGTCTTGAGGGAGGAAGGAATGATGAAATCCTTGTGCTTGTGTTCTTCCAGCTCCTCCTTAGCCTCCTTAGGTCAGAAGTATGTCAAAAGTCCAGAAAATAACATTTTTCCATGTATTTATATCAAGTAGGGTCGGGCCCAAACAAACCACCCTTGACTAGTCGAAATAGGAAAATAGCTCTGGGAAAATTGCACAGGCACGCGCATGGGGCGACGCGCCACACAGGTTATTAGTGGGACTCATTAGAGAGCAAGCAAAATTGTCAGGCAGCAGGAATTGCACTTCTGCGACGCACCATGCTCCACCCCACGCGCTGTGGCAGTGTATTTTCTTTAGAGTGCGGCTTCAACCTTGATTTTTGATGTCTAGACTTGGTCCTCGACCCCCGAACACGATCCCGGCTTAATCCATTGGGCTTTAACTCAGACCTCAAAGCTCCAAATAGCTCGAACTAGCTCCACAACATCTACATAGATCGGAATCAATCTTACAAGGCATAAAACACACAATAAGCGCAAAACACAACCAATTAGTTCAACACAAGTAAAGTGTAGGGAATGAGAGTGCAATAAGCGACTAAAATACGATATTATAGCCTACAATCAACACCCCACACTTAAACCATTGCTCTTCCTCGAGCAATCACACTACACTTCACATAGACATGACCCTTTATAAATAAATCTCCTAACTTACTACACCAAGAATAATTAAAACAAATTAAGCACAATACTGTGACTTCCTCGCCTTAAGATTTAACTTCAAAACCACTACACATTTTTCACAACTCTCTCACTTACTCTAACGCCAAGGTGAATGACATTACCTTTCCTTCATGAATCAAGTGCCCTCACACAACAATAGAGAGTAGTTCCACACACAATTAATTTAAGAACAATTAGGAACTCAAGGTAGAAAGAATTCACTCACTCTTAGAAGAAATATTCATATGCCACAAAAGACATACCATAGGCTTGCCCACAGTGTACTACTTCACTAATCGAGCTCATTCAGTCAAGGATCAAGTAGGACTTTATTTGGTTGTAATGTAGGTTGCGGGATGGGTAAGATACATCTAGATATAAGAGTGATTACAGCTCCCAAAGCACTTTAATACATACAATTAACTGTTCAAAGTCCCATGCTTATGTCAAACCATAACTCCACCTTCATATCAATATACATCAACTCCCTACTTCTTTAAGCACAATTACATCAACAGTTACCACTATCAAGGAATTTTTTTTTTACAACCATACAACTATTTTTCATTTTCTTTTTTCAATTCAAGTGGCTCTTACTTTTTCAACACAGTGCACCCTTCTCCTTATTTCAATAGTTCCACTCAACAGCCAAACCAACACCCCACATTTTAAATTTTATAAAATTCATAACAATTTCAAGTGCTCACGAGAGGTAAAAGGTTCAAATAGATAGCCAATTCAAACAAATGGGTAAGGCTTTTAATGTGGTTGCCAAAGAAACATGATTACAGGCTCAAAGGGGTTAACTAAGATACATAACAATTAGGTCGGTAAAAGCATATAATTGGCTCAACAAAGAAATGTCTATATCACTTCCAAGACTTAATCAAACTACTATTTTGCTTTGCAAACACATGGGCAAGTTATAGACATCAAATGCAATGTATAGAATAGCACAAAACCTCACACACACGGCACATAACTCACTCAGGATCGGACTCATCAAGACTTTCTAGTCAAAGCAGTTAAGCAACGTTAAGATCATAAAATTTAAGGCACGTATTTAAGAGTAAAAAACTGAGTCTAAGTGTCACAACTAAAGCAATTACTATTGTCAAGGCATAATAAAGTCAAGAGATATTGCCTTCATTTCAAATCATAGCAAATTGTTTCCTACTCCTAAAAAAATAAAAACTACTACACCTGGTTCAAATAAAACCCTTGAAAAAGAATCGTGGCACAAAGGAAAACCAAGGGGGACTCGTTACACTACCAAACAAAAGAAAATCTTTTTATCTTTTTCCTTCGACTTTAATCCCTCAAGAAACCTGTCGATAATATCCATCATCGGGAAATATCGAGAACATTAAATTTTTTATGTTCTTTTCTAACTCCTACAACTAACAAAAAGAAAACTAATATACATACAAATATCCCCCACCCCACACTTTAAGTTGTGGCATGTCCCCATGACACATAATTAAAAAGCATAAGGTAAAGGAAACTTCCCTGAACATCTAGACGGGGTCTAAGTCGAAGTCGGGCTCCATTCCAGCGCTCGAACTAATGCACACATCCATGAAGATAGCTTCTCTCGGCCTTCTTTTGGTACACCCTTCACTTACCTTTTCGCTCACCACAGCCTTCTAATTCGAGCCCTTTGCTTTCCACTCAACACTCGCAGCTGGTTTGTCCTTTTGTGCCCCCTTTGATACATCCATCTTAAAAGTCACAGTCTCCTCACCCACTCTAAGCATGAGTTTTCTCTCTTGTATATCTAATATAGCTCTTCTCGTCTCTAAGTATGGTCTTCCTAGGATGAGGGGTACCTCCTTGTTTTCCTCCATATTTACCACTATAAAATCCACTGGAAATACGAACTTATCCACCCGAACTAACACATCTTCCACTATCTCCTCAGGTGTAGTCGTTTGGTCTGCCAGCTGCAAAGATATGGGTGCAGACCTTATCTTTCCATCCTCCTTCTCTAGTTTCCTGTAGATAGATAGAGGCATTAAATTAATTGAGGCACCAGAATCACATAAGGATTTATCAAAATTAATAGTTACTAAAGAGCAAGGTATAGTAAAACTCCCTAGATCTCCACACTTTTGTGGGAGTTTATTTTGTAATATCGTGTTACAATGCTCTGTGAGCTTGACCAGTGAGGTCTCCTCTATTTTCCTCTTCTTTGTAAGGATCTCTTTCAAGAATTTAGCATAAGCAGGCATCTGTGAGAGCACTTATGTAAATGGTAAGTTAACATGAACCTGTTTCAGCACATCCAAAAATCTCTCAAACTGCTTGTCCAGCTTTTTGTCATGACCCAAATCGATGGGCCGCGATGGGCACCCGGTACCTTACTCAACCGAGTACCAGCATAATGTATCTTTTCATATCATACTCTTATAGTTAAATGAGATGTAAAGGCTGTCGTGAGATAAGTAGAATAAAACCTGAGAAAATACTCAACTTGATATACCGACTTATATATATGACGTACGGGCCTATTAGGCCGAAATAATCACTCGTATACTGAACATAGGCCGACGAGGCCATACAATCTTTCATATACATGAGATATGTCTACAAGACTCTAAGAGTACATAAACGTCATAAGGCTGGGACAAGGCCCCGACATACCAATCAATACATGTCTAAATCATACTAACCAAATAAGCAACTCCGGAGCAAATGGAGCACACCAACATCTTCCGCTGAGCTGTTAGCCTACTTGGAGAATTCTCAACCTGTCTATCAGACCTGCGAGCATGAAACACAGCGTCCCCAGAAAAAAAGGACGTCAGTACACATGATACCGAGTATGTAAGGAATGAAAATCCGTAAACAATAGACATGGGATAAACATGGAGTAAAAGGCTCAACATAAATATTTTAATAGCTCTGTGAATCATTTAATATTATAATATCATGCATATGCATATAAATGTCATAGTACCATGCATGGGTATATGCGTTCATAACATCATCAAGCCTCTGAGGGCATCCTATCATATCATCTTGGCCACTGTGGTCAAATCATCAATGTATACCAGCTGATCAAGTGGTGGTACGTATATAACGCCGTAACCTTTTCCCGTATCCCATATACATACATACATACATACACACACACACACACACACACACACACACACACACACACATATATATATATATATAGATATATATATATATGCGTATATAACGCCATCTGGTCATGGGTCAATGTACATGAATGCAATACATGAGAAGTACGTCAATAAAATCTCTTAGAATGTCATAAGACCATTATGCCTTTGAGTAATATCATAAAGTAAACTTTTTATCAACTTACGTATTTTTCTGAGACCCATGAACAGACGATAGAACAATAAGACATATGGGGAATCAAGAACATAGGACCTCTAGTATTTCTATGAATAGAGTCATTTATGGAAGTTGTACATTTGCTCGTTTCGTTTGTGTCGTATAGATCATGCCAGAAGAAAGAAGGTATAGCCTTAACATACATGAGCCGATTCTCTTGACAATCCTTCTAACACACGTCAATGGCGACAACACGTAACGACGGATCAAAGTAGGGAAAAGTCCGTATGATATTCTTGAGAAAGATTGCACCGTACTCCATTATAATTGCGAAATCTCACTTTGATTTGAATTGTTGAAGGTTTTATCTTACATATGTGACTTACGGTTGTGACCTATATTTGTAACATACAAACATTTATGTTTGAATGTATATAATAATGGAATTATGAGTTATGTATCTTAAGAATGGATATGGCTCACGTTTTTGTTTGGTAACTAGATATGATATGACTCATGTTATATGTGTCTATCCATTACTAAATGAAAATGACTCACTTTCTTAAGAATTAACACATAACATAGTTATTTTTGAGTCACAATTCCTTGATTCTTTTGCTTCCACATTACAACCCTTGAACTTATCCAAATTTCCACCCCTTCTCCTTAATCAACTTATTAATCCCCTACTAATTCAATCATTAACCAATTACCCACATAATTAAGAATTATCTCAAATTACTTATAATACTACTCACTTTTAACACGCCTTATACAACTTGCTATCATGACCATGTGGTACCTTGTATGGTACTAGTCCATAAATACTGGGTATTTTAGCTCGGGCCGTATTTTATCCCAAAATGTCAAACTTTGACGAAATTCATTTCCTTTGATTTGCTTACCCTTTCTCCTTCAAGAATTTACTCAAAATAACATAATGCTTATAATCTCAAAATAATCCCATTCCCGAACTTATGTTGATTAACTTACGACAAAACTTTAACGTACGAAAATACGGGATGTAATATCTCATTTTCGAGTTTTCATCAATTTACTTATGGCGTACTTTTACGTACAAAAACCTGGGTGTAACACTTTTCTCTACTTAGCTTTTGGGGGAAAGGTAGAGCAGGCATATGCTTGCTCTCCTCAGGTTCCTCCCTTCTCGAGTTTTCTTCCTTCTTCTTTTTCTCAACTTCCCTCTGGCCTTTCTTCTTCTTATCAACATCACTTTTCAGCTGCTCCCCGCTTTCCTTTTCAAGTCTCATACCTTTTTGGATTGGGTTGAGATCTTTCAACACTTGCCCACTTCTCAAAGTTACAGCATTCACTGTTTCTTTGGGATTTCTTTCAATATCAGCAGGGAGAGTTCCTGGAACCCTCTCAGATAATATCATTGCAATCTTCCCCACTTGCTTCTCTAAATTTTGAATTTCTGCCCCTTGTACTTCAAATATTTCATCAGTTTTCACTATGAAGGCCTTCATGAGATCTTCTAAGCTAGGCTACTTGGGCTGTTGAGGCTGAAATTGTTGCCTTGGTTGATTCATATAACTAGGAGGCTGAAACTGCTTCCTCGGCTGATCACATCTGCCCCTGGCCCAGTACATGCATAAGTTAGGCCATAAATGTAACAAAGTTAAAAAGGAATTAAGTTCGTACCTTAGAATTAGTACCGCTTTAAGTGTGCCATGTTCCATTTGTTTGGTTGTTTTACACCGTTTCCCGCTTCGAGTTTATATGATCCTTTGGCAGTTATTCGGACAACTCGATATGGTCTTTCCCAATTCGGGCCCAATTTCCCTTTGTTTGATTCCTGGTGTGTAGTGTTACCTTTTTCAATACCAAGTCCCCGACTTAAAAATATTATAGGTTGGCTCTTCGGTTGTATTACCTTCCTACTTACTGCTTTTGGGCAGCCAACCGGACCAGCATGGCCTCCCGCCTTTTGTCCAATAGTTCTAGGCTTGTGGCCATGGCCTCGCTGTTTGACTCTTTGGTAGCATACTGTAACCTGAGGCTCTGTTCCCCCACCTCCACTGGTATTAAGGCTTCCGCTCTGTAGACCAAAGAAAACAGGGTCGACTCGATGCTAGATTTTAAAATCATACGGTATGCCCACAGGACTTTAAGGAAGATTTCCTTCCACTCTCCTCTTGAACCGGTCAACCTCTTTTTTAGGTTTTGGAGTATATTTTTGTTCGTTGATTCCTCTTGCCCGTTCCCACTAGGGTGATAAGGCGTTGATAATGTCTTCTTAATTTTATGATCTTCTAAAAACTTACTCACCTTGATGCCGATGAATTGTTTTCCGTTGTTGGAAACGATCTCGACTGGTATCCCAAATCGACATATTATGTGATCCTAGATGAAGTCAATGACTTCTTTCTCTTGTACCTTCTCGAACGACTGAGCCTCAACCTATTTGGAAAAATAATTGGCCATGAATGTTATAAATTGAACTTTACTGGGCGCCCATGGTAGGGGACCAACGATGTCCATTCCCCACTTCATAAACGATCACAGTGATAGGATCGAGTGAAGCATCTCCCCTAGTTGATGTATCATCGAGGCGTGTCTTTGGCACTCATCGCATTTTCGTACAAAGTCTTTTGCATACTTCTCTATCAGTCCAGTAGTAGCCGGCTCTAATTAGCTTCCGAACTAAGGATTGCCCCCGAATGGTTTCCTCAAGTTCCCTTGTGCACTTCTCTCATGGCATATTCGGTAGAGGCTTCGCACAGCCATAGGATGCCATAGATCGGACAGGGATTCCAAGGTTTAGGGTTGATTTTGGGTGACGACGATTAGGGTTAAGGGTCGATTTCAGAGAGAACCGGAGAGGAAGGGATTCAAGGGCGGTTGTGTGTGAGAAGTTGTTAGGGTTTAGGGGTCGTTTGAAACTAAAAGGAAAGGGTGGATTGTGGCCGTTGATCTCTGTGATCAACGGTAGAGATTGAAAGAGTTTGGGCCGGATAGGGTATTAGGTTTGGGCTGGGTATATTGGGTTAAAATTGGGCTGGGTATTGGGTCAAATTAGGACCAGAATTAAAAATAAAAAGTAGGACCAGATTTAAAGTAGCG